GTGCATCAAAGAAAGAATATTAACATTTAACTTGGTTTATAGAGAAACATTGTAGAATTCCTTAGATCATGGTCATTAAAATGCAAGATAAATTCATTTAGCTGTAGCTGAGCAAAGTTTAGATAAACAAAGCAGGCCAGAGTGAGTCCTGTAGAATAGCATGTCATTGCAAACAGACTTGGATGAAAGCTCTAATGTGCAGTTTAAACAAAGAAGTGTGCTATTTATCCTGGATTAAAGGAGCTGAAATGCACTCTTGTATTGGTCACAAAGTGACTTAATATTTCCATCAGAGAAAATTTCAAATGCCTGACGTTAACAATTTCCTATTTGTGTTAATCTGATGTAGGATCCAGTAGGGTTCCACTGATCTGTACTGTGCACCATATACTGAATAGAACTTTTTGAGTGCTTCTTGGTATTCCCTAATCCCTTTTTCTTTATTCATGATTTAAGAGAGACTCCAAAGGCATGGAACATGGTGGAAAGAACAGATATTTTCTGTCAGAATTGAGCACAGCAGCTGTACAAGTACACTCTGGTTCCTAAATAGCTGACAGTTGAAACTATCAGGTCCAATTTACAGAAATTAAAGGTACCTGAGATATGTTTTCACATACTGCAGTTACATATCCTCTGACAGTATGGCCATATGCTTGTATACTTCTAATACTGATACGTATTCTAGTGTCTCCAACACTTATTAGAACTGCAGCACTTTTGAGATTTTTAATCCTTCAGGAATAAAGAGAATAATAAAAATCTACTTTTGAACAAACAGTTGTAGGAGAAAAAGTGTTAAACTTGCTTGACAATCAATTTTCCTTTAATGTTTTCTGCTTGTCTCCTTTTTACTAGAAGATTTATAGAGCCTGATGGGAGAATCAGATTGAGAAATTAGCTTCCAGTTTAATTATATTTTTTTTTTTTTGCTTTACACATTGGCTACATAAGAGATCCTTAGAGGACCATCATCCTTGGGCTCAAGTCATCTGTGAAATAAGGGAAACACTTCAAAATGTGGCTGCACAGCACTTACTACTCGAACAGAGTTAATCTGAGAGGGGAGTTTAAATTGAAATAAGAGAGAGACACAGAAGCACACACATGGAGTTCTGAGCTGAAGTATCAGAATCCTGAGTAATGTTTGGTAAATCACAAAAAGCACAAGCATCTAGAAACATACTGTAAACTGGTATGTTTAAGAACGCATATCACTAATAGGTAAACAAGCAGACCACATATACTGTCTTTGTTGACATTTTTTGACTTTTTTGAATAAGAAAACATGGCTGACATCCATAATTTCTTTGAGCAAAACCTGTGAGACTTTACAAGCTGCTGTCTGCTTCAACCACAGCAGCCTGCTATTGGTATATAAAGTGTTTAGATGGTCAGTAGAGGAAGGAATGATCAGAATGCTAGGCAGAAATACCACAAAAAGATCTGAGAATATGTATTTGATATGAATATCATAATTTTATAGAGGCATCTAGATCAATATACACCACACTTCCTTTAGTTACTTGACAAGTGAACACCAAGTATTCAACTGAATACTGAACAGAATTTTGTATTTATTATTTTTGATTTATTAGGACAGACCAGTTGGAGTGAATTTTTTCAGGTTCTTTATACTTGTTCCAATAAAATGGATAATTCTTGCAAAATAAACAGGCAAAAGATTTGTGTATTGTGTTCTCTGAAAGAAGAACCATGAAAAGATCCTTTTTATAGAATCCCATTCACAGTGGATCTGTTTTCATTTACAGTGCTATTTACATGGTTCAAGTGTATGTTCTCAATTATCTCATGCCAGAAATCTAGATGTTTTAACTTTTGCTCATTTCAGTGCTTTCCTTACTGAAACAATTTGTCTTTTAGTAGCTTTGGATTTTTTATCGACATTTTTGTTTACTTTATAAGAAGCTGGAGTATTATTAGTAAATGGATCATTATGTCAATACTAGAGTGGAAAAAAATAGGTACTGTAGAGAATTTCAATTATATAGAATCACAGTTGAAACCAACTGTGTACATCTGTGCCAATTCTTCATATTTGAAATATTTTCATATTTTTTTGTATTTCTCAAATTGATTTTGAGAATGCTAAATATATATAGGAGAGAATGGATTAGTCCATCTTTGTTGATATGACTCCTGATAAGCTTTTGATTCCTTGTGAAGGGTTTTTTTTACAGCATCACAATCATGTAATATAGATTCCCACTGGTATATTAAACCAATTTCTCATCTGATATGTGTACCAATGACAACTACTACTTAACATAAACCTTAGTCCTTCTAATTACCTATCAGTGATAAAAATGTCTAAATTCTTCAATCATGTTTTTCGGTATGGCAAGGGACTTTATAGATTTTGCTTTTAAAGCATTAATAAATAAATAAGTAAATAATTGTAATAATAATGTATTAGTTCTGAAGTTTTTCATAAAGAAAAGCTTAATGCAAAAGTTAGATTTTTCTGTTGACCAAATGAATTTAATTCAGTGTCTTTCTACTAACCAACTCCAGTATGCTGGCTTTACTTTCTCAGTGCATGGAAAAAAATGGATGTTTAAAAAAAAATTAAAAAGCAAATACAATGGTTACTGAATCAAACAGAGGAAGTTATAAATCTTCAAATCGTATGCAGGACAGATTGGAACATTATAAGCTCTTCATGTTTTCTTGAATAATATACCTAATAACTCACTATGGGCAAGTAGGAAATCTGTTTTCAAATTCTTTTACTTCTAAGCAAAAATATAATTTATGTTAAAGGGAGATTTTCCTGGTGGGAGTTTTCTTCCAAAAATGGATGCAAGTATCTTTTCAGAAAATACTCTTTGAAAGCTAGGAGGTTTTGTTGAAGTCACTGTTCAGGACACTGCCTTGCACTGTAAAAGAGTAGCAAGGAAGAGAAGAATAGATTGTGTCCAACTCCAAAAATGAGAGTATAAAATGAAACCACAGTGCAGATGCCTTTTAACACTCCAAAAAACACTTAGTCCTGATACCCAAATGCAAGAGTTTTTGGAAGCCAAATGTTTTATTTTCCCTGGAGCTGATTGCTGTGGGTCCATACTCTCAGTGAGAGTCATAACAGGAATGTCCCAACTGCATCTGCTTTTAGCAGGAGCTTTTTGCAGCAAATAGCCTCTGGAGGGATCTCAGAACATGAATTACCTTGTAATATTTTGGTATTCTGATAATTTCTTCTGCAATACAATATTTTGGGTTGCACAGCCATACTTTTAAAATGTGGACTCTAATTAATGACAGAAAAGAACCCATATTAAGTGAAATCAGCCAGGGAGGTAATCAGTTTTCTCCATAGGAATGCAGTGTAGCAGAAGAGCTTTCAGGAAGAGACCCATCTAAAGCTAACAACACTGGATCAGTACAAAGGACTTCCCCTAAAATCAGGACTTATTTCTGCTATCAAAATCAATGCATAAGGTATCCAGATGGAAAGTTCAATTTCTTAATTAGTAATAGATGTAGACATTTGAAGAAAGTAATAGCTATAGTTTAAAATTGGTCATCTTAGAAAATGTGCACAGACAAAATTAGAAATACAAATTATTATTTTCAGCTTCTATTTATCATTTCCCTGGGACTTGGTGGGTTTTTGGTGCTAGATGGTTTTATAGTCAGGAAAAGTGTTGTATACCACCAGACAGAAATAAGTTCCCTATAAGTTAGTGTAATGTAATGTACCAAACAATCTGTTCAGACTTTACATCAAGTAAACTCTTAAGGTTTTAAATATCTCTTCAGAATCTGAAGCTTTCTGAGGTTTTCCATTGCTGTTTTATGTATAACAGTGGACTAAGTCATACATGTACACCTCTGGCAACCCAGGCACGTGGCCATCAGGGAAACAGGGGATCCTGCTGGTGGGAGCAGTGGAGGCATGGCTCTCCCCAGCCTGCTGCAAACTCTGCCAGGTTGCAAAGCTCCCAGAGGAAACCTCCGCAAAACCCCTCGCCCCAAATAAAAAGGCTGACCTGATGTATTTTATGTCTTGTTTGCTGATACTGTGCTTACCATCTCATAAAACAGGAAAGCTTTGAATTGTGTTTTTGTGTTTATAAGCGTTTGCAGTTCAAGGACATTTATTGCACCTTTAACTCATGTTTAAAAAGAAAAATAAAGGCAAAGCAAAAACTATGAATAGCAAGTTCAGCAATGAACATTCATATATTGAGTCTTACGTTAAATACAAACCAGCATGGCCAGAATCTCTAAAAAACTTCTATTTCTTGCCTGTTAAATAAAATGAAACAATTTAAATTTAATATTGTTGTTATTTCTAAAATTGCATTTGAGTCCTGGTGATGTCTTTAAGTACTCATGTAGAAGGAGTTATCATATTTCAAAATAAATGTTTAACAGACTGTGCTCTGCCAGAAAAGTGATAATAGTAAACAATGACTTTTTGTTGTAAAGTACTGTCCTTCTAGGATTTATGGTAGGAAAAAGATTTCTTTTTTTGCTGCTTATGGCCTATAATTGGCAAGTTTTGCACTACCTTCCTTGGCATGAAAGTGCTGCTTCAACTATAGAAAAATATTAAATCATTTTAGAGAGATTTGCTGTCATAACCCAAAAATTTAAACAGTAAATCTCATTAGAGGAGTTAAAGATATCGAGAAAGATGTGTGAAATGAAGAAATATGACTTTGAAAGAGACTGGTTAATACAGTGCATAATAATACAGTTAATAAGTGATCCTACTTATTGTTAAATGTGGAATACAACATGGGCAAATGGCTTTACAGGTGAGTGCATGTACATATATATTACATTTGCAGTTGCAAAAAACCTTTTGGAATTGCTATTTTTCTTCTCTGACTTCGTGGAATGGGATCTAGAGAAACATCATGAAGAGACTAATGCTCTTTTTTTCTCAATAAGTTATCATTTCCATCCCTGCTTTCTTGCTTGCTTGTTTTACCTTCTTTGCAAGATTAATTCTGTATTTTCTGTAACAGGCACATAGTTGTCTGTGGTCACATAACACTTGAAAGTGTGTCGAACTTCCTGAAGGACTTCCTGCACAAGGATAGGGACGATGTCAATGTAGAAATCGTCTTTCTGCATAAGTGAGTAATCTTTCAACATTGCTCTTGTCATCTGTTACTAAAACTCATTAAGTTAAGCTGTATCTTCTGGGAAGACAGAATATTTAAAGCTCCATAAAACCATAAACCATAAAATTAATATTTGCATTTATGTTTATTTATGTCTTGAGAGAAGTTTTTTTCCCCTGCATTTTCCATAACCCACTACTAAGTATATTTGTTACAAGCAGACAGACTTCAAATCCAGTTTTGTTGTCTGTGAGGTACATTGCTAAATGCATAGTTGAAGTGGGGATTGGATTATGAAATAAAAAATATTGAAATGCAAATAAATACATCAGAGTTTTTTTAGTGGTAAATATTTCTAAGGAAACTACCAAATTGACAACATCAGTAAAACCAATGAAAAGTATATATGTTGTATAAACTTAAGGTATCTGAAAATACCTTTTCACCCTACTGAAATCAAAAACTGAAACCTCACCATACTAGATTTCTCTAGGAAAAAACGCTTATTTCAAATTGCACAGTATTTATAAAATGAAAAATGTAGGTGCAGGATCAGTTTTAATATAACAGATACTTTACAAATCTGTTGATGATAGAAATGAATTTTTTGTCATGGTGATAATCAGTACTGCTCTTTATCATGTTACATACCTACACACACATAGTAGCTTGTATTTTTCTGATGTAGAATTTGGAAAGGTGTCTTAATGAGGCTGGTGTTTCTTGCAGGCTCTACATGATGTGTATGTTAATATAATTTAATAAATAATACAATGCCTAATAGCTATGCCTAGGGGAGGAACTGCTAGAAAAAGCCATGTGGTAGGAGACAGTATCTTTTCTGTTCCGTAATGGCATCTGTTTAGAAGAGTTGCAAGTTATAAATAAATAAATAATATTTTTGCATTCAGCAATGAATTCTGCAATTTTGTCAAGGAAAATGATTAAAAAGTTAAGGAATCATTTGTGATGACTTAACAGTGGAAACTGAGAGCTAAGAATCAGCAGCACTTGCCCAATTTTTTCATCTAGTCCTTTCAATTTGAACAAGTGATGATATCTTCAAGGAACTACATAATTTTTTTTGCATTCCCTCTCTATGTAATAACAAGTGACTGTGAGAGGAAATTGGAGATCAGGATTTCCACAGTGAAAATATGTGGTAGGAATCAGGAAACTGCACATTCACATGAAATGAGTTTAGCACCTTGCTGCTTGTTTGTGCCTGTAGCTATTAAATCCCTTCTATTTTAATGAGTGGCACCAGAAAATATATTTACAATGTTGGTCCACGTTATGTAATTGACTGTAATCCATTTAATTTTTCTTTTGTTTCTGGCAAAATGAAATGAGACAGAAAGTCACAGCATCATTATGTTTGTTTTAATTGTAGCTCATACAGGCCACAGGGTCCCTGTCTGCTTTCTTTTCCTGATTTTTAGTGATCTTGCATTGAGCTGTTTTATTCAACACAGTCAGGCATTGTGGGAATGATGGGACATACAGAGGATGGTTTTGGTACTGTGTAATTCCTGGGTAGAATGCTGTGAGAGGATGTTTTCAAATGTTTGCATCCATACTTCTGGATTCACATCCCTTGGAAACGTGCACAGGATGGATGTGGAGAGTAGCACAAGGTGGGCCAGAAGCACTGCAGACAAAAGGAAGGTAGTGTTTATCTTTTAAGCAAGGCAAGCTGTTTCCACACCACAGAAAAAGAATCAGCAGAAGTCTGGATATCTAAAATGAATAAATGGGTGGGGTTGTAAATGCAGGAAATGGAGCAGTTATGGAAACTAACTTCTCATTTGCTCTTGTGTTTCCTTCCTCTTTCCAATGCAGTATCTCCCCTAACCTTGAGCTGGAAGCTCTTTTTAAACGACACTTCACTCAGGTGGAATTTTATCAGGGTTCAGTCCTTAATCCCCATGACCTGGCAAGAGTGAAGGTAACAGCTCTGTTGTTCTGTTCTCCTGCTATTTGACCTGTTTCTAAGTACTCCTTGCATTATTTAGAAAAAATCCTGCTAAAGCCCTTCATGTAACCCCAAAAGAGTGTTTTTCCATCTCTATTATCTTAAGCAATAAATTATATCTATCCTGGTAAACCCTTTTTACCCATATCTTAGATCTTCAAAGCTGCAGCAACAGTGACTTAAGATACATTGTCTGCCATTCCATTCAACTCTTTATGAATTTTTCATTGGTGTTTCTCAAAAGTGTGTTTTACATTAATGTTTGATATAGCAAGATATTGTCTTACGGTAATTGCTTAAAATGCTGTTATCTTATCAGGACAATTAAAAAATATTTTTTCACCCTCCAAACCCCTTTTGTGTTGTCTAGAATCCTTAAAGAAAAATGTGAGAATTTTGGGAGATAAAATGAGATAGTTTTACTTATTTAGATATTATTTTTTAGACTTTCTAAATAGTAAACTATTTCATTCTCTTAAAGCACAAAGCTTTAAAAAAAAAAGAAAATTTAAAAAAAAGCAAGTTGTCATATACATTGTTAACTTTTTTGTTTCTTTTCTCCCCAATGGAATGTAAATTGGTTACTTAAGCCACGAATATTTTAGTACAGTGTTATTAACACTTTCTGGAGTACTAATCATGTTTTTTGTCCATTTTGACTGCAGAAATTGCTTAAGATTTTTGTAGCCCAATGTGCACTGTTTCAGTTCATCAGAGCATGTTCTAATTATGACCATAAAATTGGTTGTTCTTATTTTGTGTTCTGTATTCCACCCTTCTTTGTGTTGATATTTGGTTGTATACACTGGAAAATACTTTTGTCATCTGCTTTGAGTTCTGTAAAGCTCAGGTTTGTGTGAATCTAGAGGTCCGGTGAATAGATCAGTTTTCCTTCTCTTGCTTTCTATATCTGGTGCTCAGATTCTAAATCAGTTCAGCCACCTTTTCCTGTCTTGAATAGGAAGGCACTTAAATTCCCAAACAAAGCTGCAGGACTTGTGAGAGCACTGTACTGATGTAACAGGAACTTCACATGAATTTAGACGTCCAAATTCCAGTATCTGGTTACAAAAGATTAACATTAGCGCCTTTGTGGTCTAGCTGATACAAAGTAAGAGTCGTCAGTTGAACTGCTGACCTGCTCTGATCATCATAAGCAAATTTCAAGAAATTCTCTGTGTCCACGAGAATGGTCATAATCACTGGCATGAACTCATGTTAGCCTAGAAACGTTTTTGATTAGCAGTATTGAGAACTGACACACTCATGCAGCCAGTGCTGGGTTCCCTGATAGTTTATGAGGAAAGAAGAGCTGGAAAGAGACGTTGCTTTATGTGTTTCCTTTTTCTTTGGTGTCTCAGATAGAGTCAGCAGACGCGTGCCTAATCCTTGCCAATAAATACTGCGCTGACCCAGATGCTGAAGATGCCTCCAATATTATGAGGTAAACTCCACAGTTTTTAATAGCTTTTTGGTTCTTAACTCTGATTAGCTAATTTTATATCTGATCTGTTGCACTGAAAGAACACTGTAGGATTTTGAGTTTTTTTAGAGGACAAATTAAAAGATCCTCCCAAAAGTCCAGAGGTGAGACTACCCTAAATTCCTACCTCAACTGTTTCATCTGTCTTTAGTGTGTCAGAAGAGACGCTTGGAGCACAGGCTTTGGCACTCTTAGTCACTTTGCAGGAGCTAGGGTTTGAGTATTGCTCGGTGAAGGCAGAGAGGAAAGGGAGTGCTGCAACAACGCATGGCGTGAGTGCGCGCAGTGCGGGGCTGCTGTCAACAATGGGGCAGAAACACCTTCAGCCCTTCCTTCCCTGCTGCTCCTTGGTGGATCTGCTCCTACAAGTAGAGCACTTCTCAGGGGATAGCAAAGCATACAAGGGAGTTGTCTCCTCTCTCCATCCTGCTTGTTTCACACTGGAGACCGATCATTGTTTGTTTTGATTGACAAGGCATTTACGACATTAGGGATGACCAGATCTCCTGCTTCCCTCCTTGTAGTCTCTGAAGGGAGGAGATGGAACAGTCAGTCAGTAGATGGCAGCTAGAGTTACAACAAACCTAAGCCATTCCATTTTTTGTTTTCTTCATGCAATCCTAGTTTTAATGAGACCAATCTTCTTTTAAAAACTAAAATCTCAGTCAGTGATTGATTAAAAGTTCTCTAGAATTGGATTGGCCAGTGTTACAAACAGATTTTACTGGCTTGTCAGATGGTGTGTGCTGTGTATTGAAGGAAGGGGAGAAATAAAAAAATGCTACTAAAATTGCTCTTCTGGAAAAATACCACTGTGTGCAAGAGATGTAGCTATTTGAGAAGGATGCAAGGCTAAAATATACCTAGTTTCATTTTACAAACATGATTTGAGTTGTAATGAAATAAACTTTATTTTGATATTGATTACATAAATACATTAAAAATATTTCATTCACAGATTGATGCATTCTTAGTAGATTTAATACATTTAATGTAATAAAATGCAAAAATTGTAATGTAAGAGTGGAATTCTCTTATGTTTTCTCACAATTTAAGTTAAAAAATTTAATGTTTAAACAGTTCAGCAAGAAATGGAAAATTAGAAGAACGACTTGTTAAAATAATGCAATTTTTTAAATGTTTGCTGTTCTAGCTTTGATGTGCTTAAAAGCACAAGCCAGACAAGAAGTTTACAATATATGTTCTACAAAACACCAATGTAAACACTTACAACATTCAGTCTTGTGAGACTGATGATTTCATAATAAGTCAGATTTCTTTTCATTGTTTTATCTTCTTTTTCTATCTTTAGTTTTTAAATACAAGAGGTTTTTGGGGTTTTTTTGGCTGTTCATCTCTTTAATTTTGCGCAATGCTTTCTTATAGCACAATATCAGTTCATGCATTTCTCAAATATTTTTCTTTCCAGCCACTTAAAATCTGTACACAGTTGAATGTATCTTGGATTCATTAAGTAATTTAGAATGCAGAAAATGTGAGGATTATGGAAGTAGCCCCATGTTTTATAAATTCAGCATTCAGCTATCAGTTTTTATATTGATCCTTGGATAAATCCATCAAAATTAAGATTAATTTGCATGTGTAACACAAAATCATTATTCAAGGTATTTAGATACGATGAATATCTAGCAGATATAAATAAATAATATATGATGGGACTGAAAGAAATGGATTCTTTCAGGCATTTATCATTCAGAAACTATCAAGTATGCTGATTCAAAGACACGAAGATAATCACTGAGGATGATGTAACAATTCCAACTACGATATTTTCCTAACAGAATGAGTATATGAACAGAGCTGCTAAAACACGTGTCTTTTTCTGCAAACTCCATAAGAGCAAACCATTCAACTGCACATTTCCTGAGGCTTACTGCTTTCTAGTACTAGCCACCAATTCTTACCTCAGTGTGACTGTGTGTAAATATTTCAAAGGTTTGACATCAATCAGTTTGTTTTACAAGCAGATGAATAAAGAGGGTACAGTTTTAATTGTGGGACTTGACAAAACAATAAAATAGAGGTATTTGGATGCATTATCCAAATACCCTATCAGTTAAAAGTTATCTTTATAGGTTTTTCCTTCTCTTTTTAGAGTTATTTCCATAAAGAATTATCATCCGAAGATAAGAATTATCACTCAGATGTTGCAGTACCACAATAAGGTAATGTGATGGCCACTGTTTCTGCTCACAGTATTTTGCTACGTTGCATTCACTCATACATACTTTTTCTAGTTCCTGTAACAGCAAGAATTTTTCTTCAGTTACAAAGTAATTTAATTTTTTTATATATGCAAGGGACTTTATCAAAATCATGACATTTATTAATTGCCTGGGATCTAATTCTCAAAGCTACAGTGTCCCTAGTTGTTATTGACTCCAGATGACCTTTCACCACTTAAATTCTGAAAGTTCTGCTCTTATTGGAGGTTATTATGAGTTTTTGATTCTGGCGCAACCATGTAGACCTGAAATTGCCAAGTAGTGGGTACAAAATAAATAAATTTAGGTGTTTTCTAATATAAAACATGGCTCTGTTGTGGAATATGATACTAAGAGTATTGTGAAGTTCAAAATTACAAATCCACTTTGGAAAGGAATTTGAAAAAATATTTTGATGGTAAATTTGTGACTTTTATACACAATGAAAGTCAGTTTATTGAATCCTGAGATGAGAAGGTCCATAAACTGCTGACTTACAGGGTTATGAAGGACATATCAGGTAACACAGTACTCATATGTGACCTGCTTCTTTTATTATATTATAATATAATATTTATTATATTAGCTCTGAAAGAATCAACCACTGCCCAGTGTTTGAGAAAAAGCTTGACTGGCTAAACCTTCATTTAATGAAATACACAATAAATCTGGTACCAGGAAGGTTTGATAACAACTCCTTATACCTGTAACCTGTTGCTACAACAAGAGCAACTACTGCTGCTTGTTATGTCCTCTTCCCATATGTGATGGAAGAAGCCTGTCTTTATAGAATCAAAGCAAGGTGTTTGTCTGCTTTAAACAGCCACAGAGGGGAAGTTCTTTTAAATGCTTCAGTTTGTTTGCTATTCCAATGGTTGTGTCTTCAAGAATAGCTTTTATCAAAGAGCTGAACTGTGGAATTAACTTTGGAGGGGAAACAAGGAGGAAAGACTCTGTGCTTCCATGTATCTATGCAAATGTAAAAGTTACGTTAGAGAAAATCCAACAGAGTTAAGCCAATAACTGAATAATATTTATACTTACCTAAGTGATCTGTGTCAATACTTCAGATGTGTCTTGCTCAGTTATTTTCTTCATTCTGTCCTTAGAAATAGCATTCTTAGAAAAAAAAGTTTTGATTTTCACTGTCAAGTACTGTTGATCAAAGTGGAAGAAATGACATGGAAAAGACAGATGTTGTATATGATTTTAAATTATCGTATCCCTTAAAGGTTTCAGCTTCACATTAGTTGTAACCTAAGTGTATTAGTTTCCTGATGTGTGTTCCTTATCAGTCAGACAGTAGCTCAAAGTGCTGTAAAGGGAACATGCAGAAGGGAAGGAAAGCTTCTCCATATTCTGCTTGCTCAGGTGTGAGGACAGATCTGACAGAGTGCCAGTATGTCTTGAGAAATGTAGGATTTTATCTCTAGTAGGTAAGAGTGGAACATTTCTTAGCATAGAATTAAGCTCTGAAACACCTGAAGTGCTTCTGCCTACTCAGAAAAAGTCAAGTTAAGAGAGAAAGTCATTCACTGCTATCTTCTATTTCTGGTTCTTCACCTGTGGGATATTGTGTTTGTTTGTTTGTTTATTTTCCAGGCCCATCTACTAAATATCCCAAGCTGGAACTGGAAAGAAGGGGATGATGCAATCTGTCTTGCTGAGCTGAAGCTGGGTTTCATAGCCCAGAGCTGCCTGGCACCGGGCCTTTCAACAATGTTAGCCAACCTCTTCTCTATGAGGTCATTCATAAAGGTAATGCCTTATCTCATTAGAACATATTAGTCTGCCATTCAGGTAGTCTGAGACTGGAGTAGAGAACATGACTCAAATGTGAAACAGATAGACATTAACAGATTTTGTAAGACTGAAAAATACCAGCACACACTTCCATGCTAAAGTTTCTTTCTGAAAATTGGGCAATAAGCCAGGTTCTATCAATTTGTGGTTTGTTTTGTTTTGTTTTGTTTTTTTTTAAGTTGCTGCTGCTAAAACAAAAATACGATTTATCTAAGTCCCATGTAGCAGCAAAGTGCCAAGAAAAAGGGACTGGTCATTTTGGTCTTTTACATTCAGAGATTAGTTGACCTCCGACTGTGAGTGAATAAGGAGCATGTGTTAGAACTGAGGCCCAAACTTCCCACAACGTCACTCATGTATTTGTTTCTCCTCAGTCTAAGAGCTCTTTTGGACTTAGATTGCAAAATTTTAACCCAATTAGACTTCTGTGGGAGCTGTACTGGTTCACTGGACCAAGGCTTTGATTGCAGCAATCATTGCATCCTTCCTGGTGCATTTCAGGGACACTGAATCCAAACATAAAGGGTGGGCAGTTTCCAGTCTCATGGATGTTATTAATGGGATGGGAAGCACTAGAGTAAAAGGTATGCCATGGTCCACTTCAAGTCCATTGTGCCAGTAAGCTAAAACTAAAAATACCCTCATGTCCTCAGATGACAAAACCAGGACCGTTCTCTTAGAGGGGAATATGTTGGTGCAGGACAGTGAGTCTTTATTTGCTTCTTATAAAGTCCTGGCATTTTTATGAAGGCATCCTTACAAGACAGCAGGTTCCCATGTGTTAAAAATATTTCATACTATTGCATCAAAAAAGGCCAGTTTTCAATATAGAAACAGGTCTGGGCTCTGCACTTTACCACCTGCAGTTACACTATCTTCATCTTTATTCATGTTCTAAAAAAAAAACCCAACTGAAAGAAGAAAAAAAAAAAAAAAGTTGTTTCACCTCAGCAAACCAGGAATCTGTCTGTGACTCCTCAGTTTATGGCCAATTGGAAATTAATCCTTTCTACCTATATCCCAGAAGAAAACTGTATCTCTTGTGAACATCATTCTCCTTACCAGTCAGTTTGGTTTCTGCCACTCTTGTCTGCTGTGGTGACACTCAGGGGTCTCAAACATTTGTAACAGCCACACTAATGTATGCAAAGTACTGAGGCAGCCTGTTTATGAATGCACTCTAGGAACCAGAGTACCTGTGAAAATTTTGTCCACCTTCTGTCTTTCCAGAATCAGAAGGGGTCGATTTTCTCTTAAGGAGATCCAAATATATGGGTATCCTCAGAAGCCTCGGTCTTAATTCAAGCTGTTTTAATACTGGTTTTAAACAATGACAAAGTGGAGAGATTCACAAAATGATAAAGTGGACAAATGTCTGACTGTGGGGGAACTGTACTAGAAACACACATGTTTGTGGCCTGGATTTTTATCTAAAAACACTTGAAGTCAAAATATGGATATGTACAGGTACCATGTTTCCAGAAGATAATCTAACCACTTCTGCCATTATCTTAGCCACCTATGTTTTCTTATTTTATAACAAGTCTATAATAGTTCCAGTACAGTTGCAGATTCAATCTCATTGATGAGCAGTTTTAAGCTGAAGGCTCAGCTTTGCAAGGCATTACTCAAATTACATCTGAGTATTTCTCTGTATAATAAGCATAATAAGAATAAGCATAAAAATGGCAATAAATTTGATTTGGAGGAAGCTATCATTGTTAGTTTTGCTCTTGTGTCTGATTAAATATGGTTATAAACAGAGTAATGTGCAGACATACCTTAACTTGTGTGACTTTAAATGACATCTTCACGTGGTATTGGGAGCAAAAGAAGCTGTAAGAGAGTGCATTAAAATTGCAATACTTTGTTAATACTTGTTAAAAATACATTTGCTACATAATTAAGAGTGAATTTTCTAGGCAAGTAAAATGCACATCTTCATTTCCAAAGATCTCTGACTAATTCAAAATCTGAAGCCAAATAAATGTACAAGAATTGAGACAGATTTCTTTATGTGACTCTAGCCCTATTGGTAATAACAAAAGGTTTGTTTATTTAGCTGAAATGATGTTCTTTCTCATGTCTGTCTCACTCTAAAAACTTGAAAAAGAAAACTGAATAGTGTCTGTGAATCAGCAGTGTATCACAGGAGAGCAGCTACATTGATTAGAAATGCTGAAGAGGACTCTCTTGGAGAGAAATAAGTACATTCCCTAAAAGAACTACCCCCTTACATTAAGAACATTCCATTTAAGTACTGTCAGGCCTTCATAAATTCCTTGGGTAAACGTTATTAGTGGGGTCTCTCACCAGTCAGGAGATTGCCAGGAAAATGTACAGAAACTTCTGTATTTTTTAATGAGGACTTGGAATGTGTGTTTGTTCCACCTCCATAGTGTGATTAGAAAGTGATCTAATGTGCCATAAATGTTTGGTCAGTCAAACACAAATGAGCGTGATTGATGGTGACATTGCACACATTTAACTCATTATGTGTTACTTTACAGCAAAATTATTTGTGTAAACAGTCTGCTCAGTGTTAGAAGTAAAACAAACTAAGAAACCTCAAAATATTATATTTGTTCCCAATATTTTCCTTTTGGTTTTAGCAATGTAATATCATATGGAATCCTTTATATTCATTTTGGCACCAAGCTGAACAAAAAGGAAATCAGCTCAAAAAGATTAATGTTCTGTAAACAAAGACAGATAGATTGCACCAAACTATATGCTAAGGGAAAAAAAAAAAAAGCCACAAAACTTTACACCTGCATTTTAATAATACAGTCTTATAATATAGACTGTTACTGTTATATTAAAAAAAGGAATTTGGACCCTTTATTAACTTGCACAGTCTCAGAAAAAGATGGTAATACTGTACTGCACTACAATTTCTGTATTGTTTGAATTAGGAAGTGCATACCACAAGTCTGTCTATATGAAAAACATTGCAAAAAGCAGATACATGTAATTATAGGCAGAGATGATCAAATTTTGTCCCTGTGTACAATCCTGCAAGCCTATCTACAACCTACAAGCCAAGTTGGTGGTGTTGTCTAAATTAATAAAATATGGAATCTAGTACTCAAGTGTAACACAAGTCCACAGCCAAATTAGTTTTGTCTTTATAGGTAAGACAGCCATTGCGCCTCATTGCAGATCTGTAAATTACCTAGGGCTGTCTCTGTTATCCTCTAAGCTATTTTGAGAGTGGGAGTGTTTTGTGGGCTTTTGGCAGCTTTTGCTCACACCTACACATATTCAGTACTGGCTTTACATTCCTTTCTAGTCCAGGCTGAAAGAGAGACATAGTAAAGCCACACAGATTTACATAAGTTGGGTGCTTACCTACACTGTTGGAACGCATCAGTTTGTTTGCTATTTATTTTTGACCACCCAGGCAGCCTTGGACTGTTTTAAAGTTTGGAACTGGATTATGAACAGGGAATATCTTGACATGTAGTAGGAGGACTTTAAAAGGACAGTGAGAAGGAAATGCAATGTCTCGATTTATTTTGAGGTTCTTCAGGAAGCTGCATAATAAACTGATTACATGATCCTACTCACAGGACCTAGACCAAATACGAAATGTAGCCTGTTACCAAATGCTTTAATCTTCAAAGATCACGTAAAGATCTTCCTGACTGTAATGTTTTTAAATCATTGATTCTAGGAATTAAAACCTGTTGGTGTTTAAAACTGTTTGCTGTGCATACATGGTATCAGTCCTTGTGATAAGAGTGTATTTGTCTTGGGCTAAAGTCTACCATGGGACTGCATTTTCAGTCAATCATTTGAACAGATCAACACCAGTCTATCCTTGGCCTCATGACTGGATAGAAATCTTGCCCTGTTTTGTATATTTGAAGCTATTGGAAGTAGAGCCTGTATGCCTTTCAGTTCAAATCCATCAAGGCCAGAATCTAAAAAAAAAAAATTAGATGTCATTATATTTCAAGGGTACTCTCTCTGCCTTGACACACTACAAAATTCTACCTTAGTATTAATGAGGAAAAGTGCATAAATCTCATTTTAAACTAGAACTAATCTTAATTAGCATATTTGACATTTTATAAAATATACTCTTTTTATACAAATTTTAAAAATCATCCGTGCATACAAAAAGCTGTGGAAATAGTTGACTGAGATTGTACAGTCTTCATACTACTAAGGTTATTTGTTAGCTTTGATTTCAGCAGACAATGGAACTGAGTAAGGAGGCAGTTGATAATTTATAGTAATTAAGGAAATGCAATGCTAAGACTGTAAATCTAAGACGCTTCACCCTATGATATGACCATAAGAACTGCTTTCAGACAATTGCTTTTCTGTCAGATTTAGATATCCATGTGCAAAGGCATAATAAAACAAGACATTCACTCAAGCAATTTGTGTGGGCTGAAAGGGCGTTATAGGTAAATGCGAGGAAATATTTGAACTATGTTGCTTCCAATGTACACTTCCTTTTCAGCTACCAATCAAGAATATTCGAGGGCTCAAGAATATTGAGTTAGGACAAGGAGTTACGGCTTTAAACTGGCAGAAGGCAGGATTGGGTTGGAGATTAGGATGAAACTGTTTACTTTGAGGGTAGTGAGGCACTGGAACAGGTTGCCCAGAGAAGTCGTGGTTATCTCATACCTGGGAGTGTCCAAGGCCAGTTGGATGGGACTGAGCAATGTGGTCTAGTGGAAGGGATCCCTGCCTACAGTAGGGGGTTGGAATGAGATGGTCTTTAATGTCCTTTCCAACCCAAACCATTCTATGATTATGTTGGTACTTCCTTTTCATTCTCATCTATGTTGTTTGAGACAGAGTTGTAACATTAAACATCCTCAAAGGCTTCGCCCTGTTTTCAGGCTTTCCATGGTGGTGATGAGCTGGTCTTATTCAATGTTAAGGATCAGACTTAATCAATGCTAAGATCATCTGGGTTACACTGCAACTCTAGCATTTGTTCTCTGTCTTGATACTGTGATCTTGGCAGAAGAGATTATATAGCACGATCAGGTTCAGATACACTCAGTCTCTTTCATACGACTATTTATGTCATTACACTGAAAAGCAAATGCTATGAGCAAGATGGATCTTTTGGAGCTACAGAGCTCCTGATAATTACACTGCTGGGTGTAGGGCTAGGTGTATTAAAGGTTTTCATTTTCTTCTGACAATACTAATGGTTGTGCTTACAACATTTTTTCATATCTCTGTCACTATGTCCCACTAGGAATTGATTGTATTATGTAAATATATTTGCTGATAAAAATATTGTATCTATAAATATATATAAAGTATATGTATAAATATCTATAAAATGGAGGAGAGCAGAGGAGTATCATGACTTAAAAAAAGATTCAGATGAAAATTACATTTCTTCTTTTGGATTGCAGTATGTAATTTTCCAGCTATTGTTCATATAGGCTATTGAAGCAGTGGATAATTTGTTTTATGACTACCAGGAGACAGAATTGCAGTGTGACTTATGGGGGAGATAATCATGTGTTTGCAGTACTAGAGAGGAAGAAGGAAGATACAGATTGAAGTTGCTTTGGTAGTACAGCCCATTCTAGATTGGTTCCATCAGTTACCTAAACTTTAAAATACCATCACAAAGGCTTAAAAAAGTCATGAGCATAATTACTCCTAAAGTATTTTTCCTCACAAAAGATACTATCCATCTCTTTGAAATCATGGGAAAATGTCATGGTTCAGGAGGAAATAAAACAGAAAGTTCATCTTTAGTAGAATGTTATAATCATCTTATAATAATATTATATACCATCCCTAATATCCCTAATTCTTTAAATTCTATAACCAACATTTTGTGGTATCCTGACAGATAATAAGTTAGTACCACTAACTGGTATCTATGGAGCTTAATCATTGCTTTGTGAATGATTGTTTTTTTCCAGTCCTTGGTCCTTGACTAAGGGTGAGTATTTAACTGTAGGTCTGATCTGGACTTCCTTCCTCCAAATCAAAACCATCTGCCTAAAGAAAAGAAAGGAAGGGAAGAAAGTAGAAAGGGAGATTTGTAATGTATTTGTATTTTTTTTCCAACCCCAGGTGGTGTCAATCTAAGAAAAAGCCACAAAATAGACCAAAAGTTACAAACATGCCCTTGCTATCATTACTCTTAGTTTTTTACCAAGCCTGCACTTTATCTCTCTTATGTATATAGAGTTGCTGATCAGCAACATTTGCAGGCTTCCTATAAATAAAAGGGTTATAAAAAATGTGATATGGCTTCTCTGTGTGTGGTGGGGAATAACACAATGCAAATCCCTTTTACCATCCCACACGGCCTCTGCATGGTGAAAGAATTTCTATGGAAGAAATTTCTCCTGATTGTTTGCAGCCCACTTGTCAGACTGTATATGATTTGGAACATCTCCATATTGCAATTTATTCTTGCAGTCATTACATCTCCAGAACTAAAGTAACTGATTATTTGGCAGCCTCTCAACAGGAGGAGGGAATAGAAAAACAACAACAAAAAAACCCAGCCAAAAAACCAAAAACAAACAATCAAAAAAAGGGAAAAAACCGAACAAATTAAAAAAAAATCTAAACCCCACAAAAATGCCCAAAGAAAACAAAAACCAAACAAACAAAGAAAAAAAACCTCAAAAAAATATAAGGAAAGAAAATCATTGTAATTTGCATTTTACCAGGTTTCTTAACAAGTTTGCATCTTGTTCTTTAGAGCATTTTTTTGAAAGAGTGCCTTTTGGCTAGCTTAACATGAGAGAAAGATCGATGAATCCCAAATTAATACTCACCCTGTGGGATAAAAATGCAAACTTATCTAAAATACTATATTAAGTCCTGTCAAAACAGCTCTGGAATACTGAAATTTGAAAACTTGAAATTTTTTGTTCCAAGAGAACCATAGAATGACAGAGTACCTTGAGTTTGAAGGGACTGACAAGGATCATTGTGTCCAACTCCTGGCCCTGCACAGGTCATCCCCAAGAGTCCCACCGTGTGCCTGAGAGCATTGTCCAAGCACTGCTCGAGCTCTGTCAGGCTGGCGCTGTCCCCACTGCCCTGGTGAGCTGTTCAGTGCCCAAATACCCTCTGGTGAAGGTGATTTCCTTTCCCTGATATCCCAAGCCTCTCCTGACACAGCTTCAGGCCATCCCCCCGGAGCCTGTTCCTGGGCACTGCAGAGAGCATATCAGTGTCTGCCCCTCTGCTTCCCTCCTGAAGAAGCTGAAACTGAGGTGAGTCTTCTCCAGGCTGAACAGACCAAGTGACCTCAGACGCTCCTCATACAGCTTCTGCTCAAGACCCTTCACCACCTTCATTGTCCTCCCTTGGACACTCTAACAGCTCAATGTCTTTCTCATTTTGTGGTGCTCCAAACTACCCCCAGGACCTGAGTGTGGCTGCCCCAGTGCAGAGAGAACAGGACAGTTCCCTCCCTTGTCCTGCAGCTGGTGATGCCTCCCCAGCCAAGACAGGCTGAGAAAGCTGGGGCTGTTCAGCCTGGAGAAGAGAAGGTTGTGTGGAGACCTCCTAGCAATCTTCCAGTATCTGAAGGGGGCTGCAGGGAGGCCAGAGGGGGATTCTTTGTTACGAACTGTAGTGATAGGACAAGGAGTAAAAACTGAGGTAGGTAAAAACTGAGAGGAAAAATTCAGGCTAGATATTTGGAAGAAATTCTTCACTGTGATAGTAGTTACACACTGGAACAGGTTGCCCAGGTAGTTTGTGGATGCCCCAGGTTGGATAAGGCCTTAAGCAACCTGGTCTAGTGAGAGCTGTCTTTCCCATGGCAGGAAGGGTTCGGACTAGGTGGTCTTTAAGGTTCTTTCTAACCCTTAACATTCTATGATTCTACTATTTTTAAAAAGAGAAAATTGGTTAACTTATTTCCTCATGCTCTCTAAAACTTAATTCCACTCCATGCTCAGTGTGCCTAACAAGAATTCAGTGTATTATTTTTGCATACGATTCTTGATTTACTGACTACAGAGATTCTGCTTTTAAGGGATTTTTCAGCATTGTAGAAAATCCCTTAAAAATAAATGATGTTAACTGTGTACTGGCTTACGTGTTAAAATCTGATTTATGTTTAAGCAGTTGTTTGTAAATTTCAAAGAAAGCTGTGATTTTTACTCAGAACTCTGCATCTGTTTCTTTGGTTTTAGATTGAGGAGGATACGTGGCAGAAATACTACCTGGAAGGAGTTGCAAATGAAATGTATACAGAATATCTGTCTAGTGCCTTTGTGGGTTTGTCCTTCCCTGCAGTTTGTGAGTAAGTAGAAGTACATTTAATATGCAGAAGCATATCCCTTCTTTCAAGAGAAATCTCATTATTTTGCATGAGACCTTTTCACTCTACTAGAGTCCAAATGTTGCTACATCCGATGGTGTCTAATAAAATAAACATTAAAGCAATCACTGCATGGAAGTGTCTGGAACATTGTAATGCCTGGTTTCAGGAGAGATTTGTAAATAAGTGATTGTAAATGAAAGCATAAATGGTTTTGGTATGGAGCAAACCCATTAGCAATCTTTTTAAATTCAGTTGTTTACTCACAAGTACTATCTTGTTATTTTTTTAATGATTCTCATTCTTTGAATAGTGGTGGTCAGCATGACCATCTTGGCTTGTGTTCCATTCCAAGGAAACTATTCCTTAATTAACAGACGTCACAGAGTCATATAAGCAGTGTGGCACCTGGAGCTCTGTGTAAGTGGTTGCAAATCACTTGCAACAAGTGCAATATCTCAGATATGTCTATTCAGTTCTTAGACAGAAGCACATGGTACATAACCATAGTGTAAGCCATGCCACAGCTTTATTTCTGGAGACTGAAAAATGCTTATATTTATCCTACAATGGGTCTGTGAATGAGAGATTTGCATGCATAAGGTTTGTATAATAAATACTCTGTCCACATAATCAGGTTAGTTTAGCACACTCGTATTTCCTCTTCGGTTGGCATTGCTCTTCATTCCAGCCATACTGAAAGGTCACCACAAGGGAGTGGACAGCTTTTGCTAGGGACTGTGCAAATGCTTAAAAGGAAACTGACCCTACTTGGATGAGCTTGGTGTCAAACTGGTTAACAGAAAAACTTCTGAAGATTCCATTCATAGAGGAGGAAATAGATGAGGAAGTAAAATACATCTCTTATGTGAATGAGGATGAGTATGTTTCTACTCCTCTAACTTCCCCACCTTTCCCAATTTTTACAGGGGCAAAAACATGGCATAACAGTGAGGGGGAAACAAGTGTTAGACAAATATTATCCATTTATAAATTGTCTGGGATGCAGATATGACAGAGCCTAGTCATCAATTTGCTAATAAAGTTAAGGGGTTCTCAATCCATCCTTCCACTGTGTCAGCCACAGTGTTATGAGTTTGCTGAGGGGAAAAGTTTTTCACTATAGGTACAAAAGTTTATGTGGATAATATTTTTAATGGATTTTGTGGATAATATATTTTCTTGAAACAGGAAATCTCATCATTCAGAAAAGTATATTATATGAAGAATGAACAGTAGTTTGTGCTGTTAACACTAGCTACAGTTTAGTCTCCAGGCCAAACCATTTTCAAATGTGTCAAGTTTCTATATGAGTTTGCAAGAAGGTGTGACTGAGACTGTACTTGACATAAAGCTGACATTCATTTATCTGTGCTGGTAGAATGGAGATAAAATAATCAATAAAGAAAGGATGCTTACTGAGATTTAGAAACATGTCTAAACTTTGGAGCTCTCCTCAAGTATTTGGTTATCTGAAACATCAGCAAACTCTTAGCTAGTTACAGTGAAACAAAAGGATTTATCTCAAATTTTCCAACACACTAATAGCTCTATTAAAAGCACATTGAAAATTAAAATGTAGTGCTACTTACTAATGAGTTTAGTGCATCGGTATTTTTATTACTGTAAGAAATGACTGCTCAGTTTCCAGAAGAACTGAAGGACAAGGACAGCAAAATGTCCATTGCATTGGTTTGTGAAGGGGAAATTGAGTCAGTGGATAGGCTTAGTGTATTCAGCTACCCATGAAATATGCAGACTTTGAGAACAGGTTTTGTAGTGTAGCTTTTTAAATTCATGCAGTCAATGGCATTTTAAAAGTCAGAAATTAAATGAAGTGTTCTGCTTTCTCAGGTTATTTGTCATAAATGCAAGTCTAGGAATGTGATTCTTTTGTAAATAGGCTGCCATACGCCTGGATAACAAAGAGTGTGCAGAGATAGTGAGGGTGGGACATTCAATATTGCTGAAGAATTTCATGTTTTTCACGTCAACACTGGGGTGAAGAATTAGATGGAAACAGAAGTTAATATCAGTCTGCAAGTTCTATTTGTAACTCCACATGTGTGTACTGTGTGAACATATTCCAACCAATATATTTTCAAGATGCAAATGTAGTTCCTAACATTCTGTGCCCTTGGATATTGCTGGATCAAGTGTGGATGATGATGATTGAAGATAAACTAACCAATCTATTTCCCACTAGTGCAGAGCCTTCTAATGTTTAGTAACATAAGGCTAACCTTCACCCAGGTTCTAGGCCTACCATTCTCTACCCCAAATTTTCCTAATGAGGCCAGCATATTTCTGAACTGACACTCGACCTTGTGGTGGGAACTGTCCGTGTGTGATGTTGGCTGTGGAAAGGGACTGACTCCTGGCCTCTTCTCTTCCTGCAGACTGGTGTTTGCGAAACTAAAGCTCTTAATGATAGCCATAGAATACAAGTCGGAAAAGCGCGAAAGCAGGTACGTCCCATGCCGCCGCTTGAAGTTCTCGAATGCACTGTCAAGAATTTTGCTTGCTTTTTTGTTTCAGAATGAACATAGCTATTCTTTTAAACATTTCAGAATGTAATGCCATTGCATTGCAGCATTTCACATAGGACTGAAAGGGACTTATTTCTGCCCTCTTTCTCCCTAAAATTAACCCAAGTCAGAATGTTTAGTAAAACATGCAGTAGTACAAATGTCTTATCTCCAGGAGTGATTTTCCTTGTGGAAAAACTTAAATTTTTTTGTGTTTATAGTGTATCACTTTTAATCAGAGGTCCAGCTTACACTACTGAAAAGTAGAAAACAGATGTGATATCAAAATTCATTATGGCTATGTGTATTCTCAAAATACAAATTTAATTTAAATTAGTTTATTATATGATACAGGATAAACAAATAAAGGGTAAACAGAATATTTAAATTGTATCTGTTGTGACAAAACTTACATGAATAACATCATGAAACTGGAAAAGATTCATTTAGCCTTGAAATTACCAATTGGCTGGCTACTTTAATCAACCAAAAAGAATCATTATTTTTAGTACAAATTCACAGATGGGAAGCGTTTTGTGCATTTTTTATTTTTTTTTTGTGCAAAGTTCATAGAAAACTAATTGAACATTGGAGTCAATCTTCCATCAACTTGTCCATCACTGCTTTAAACAATATTCATTTTTATGTAAGAAAAATGTTATAAATGTTCTCTGCAACATGTGGAAGATAATAAAAATATGACAATACTGACTCTGAGAGGAATTTTATTTTCCTCATTTGAAATTATGTTTTATACTGCTATAGTAAACCTGGAGTGATACATACTAGTTCATCTTCTTTTTGGCCACCTTTTAGTGGCCAAAGACACTTTTGGGGACAATTGCTTCTTCTCACAGGAGAACCAATTCTATCAATTGAACTCATTCTGCAATTTCTGGGGTTTTGAAAGTTTAATACTTAGTATTGACTTTCATAATTTTTCTTTATTAAAAGAAATTATAAAACCTGTGTTAGACATTTGACATGGAAAAAGCAGTGTTACAACTATTTATGAGTATTTCCATGCCCTACAGTTGGTTTTGCTGGATTCTTCCATATGTTATAAAATTAAATGTGTTGTATGTACTGTTGGATATCATTTTTGTTCACACTATGCTGATTAAGAAATTAGGGTTTTTTTACTGTCAGATTTTTTTTATGCTGTAGTTAACTCCTTTTGGACTCTTAAAATACTTTTCCATTGAAAGACGTCATTCTGCATTAGCTAATGTAAAGCAAACAATCTATTCTTCTATGAACAATTTAATCTCTTTCTAGAAAAAGGAAAAATATGATAGTAACAGCAGTGGAACAATTTACCAGATTTTGTCTTCAGTATTAAGAAAAATTTGGTTTCTGTTTTTTCTCCTAACAATTATTGGCCAACTTTATATTGCCATTACTTTAGTTGTCATTTACTTACATAAGTGCTAATATTGCAGTCTTTTGCAGTAATAACAGATTGTTCTTGGCTTCCATATCATTCTTTGCATTAACTTCAGTGGGAGTTGGATTGAGTTCTTAATCAAAAGGTGATGCAGAGGATCCCACAAAAAGTAACACAGTGTGTTACAATCATATATTTCTTACTTAAAGCCACACAGGTAACAGTTTGAAATAATTATTATAGTATGGAAAAAAAAGACTAAAATTGCTGGAAACAATACTATCAAAGGGATATTAACAGGTGGAACTTTTGAATATGTATGTAACAAGAGGAGGGCATACAAGGTAGATAGACACATTTTTTTATAACTCTGATCGACAGTAATATCTGCTGATTTTATTAACCAGTGATAATTTTATGGTCACTATTTGATCAATCACATAGCTACCTGCAGCGTATCTTTACTGTTCTACTTGTTCCTGTGCTTTTCAACTCAAATATGTTAACTAAATATTTGTGGTTTTCTGATCCTTTATTCAAACCAGAAAGGTAATGCAACAAAACTTCAGTTTCTCACCTCCTAAGTACACTTGCATTTCCATGCATCTTATTAAATGTAAAGGTGGGGAATTAAAATAAAAGTTAGAATAACACAGTTTAGAAGCACAAGCTCTTTTTGAACAATAGACATTTGTCATTTGTCAATTAAGTTTGTTGATGCTGACATTGGCAATATTTTATTCTGCTCATATCTTAATAATTCTTAATAAAGGTGAAGAGACAGCTGACTATGGATATTCTTTTTAAACTTTCAGTCTTTGTGAGAGTGACGAAAAGTAAATACATGCTGATTTATTTTATAATTATACCTTGCATTCATATTTTGTAAAACTATTACAGAAGTTTTATATCATTTAAAATTTAGAGAAACAGTGCTAAATATAACTAAACATTTAGAACATGATGAAGATGGCACCCTTTCATTAAAAGCTAATGCTTCCTGCCATAGCTGAAACAGCTCTTGAAATGGTATTTTCAGAAGCAGGGGAAATTTTCAAAGCATTCTTTCTCTAAAGGATGAGAAGGTCTTACTACCAACTGTTTAATTTTTATTACTAGTCATTATTAAATGTCTATATCATTAAATTATCTATCAGATTGCTTCCTTACACAGGGAGTTTCCTGTTAAGATTAGTTTCATTTGCCTTCATCACTTTGCTCTCAGAATTAAAGCAGTGAATAAGATTAAAGAGTGTGTGCAGCTCTAAACAGTAGTAATGTGAGAGAATTCTAAATGTCCTAATCCCTTCTTTAAATTTTCAACTCAGTCTTAAGGATAAATACTAGTCCCATCTCATTGAATGGCAGACTTTTACTTGACTGTTATTATCTTCATTAGATGTAGAATGACATAAATACTAATTTACCTCTGCATGTTTTTTTTGGCCAGGCAGTCACCTAGATTCTAGTTTTCTAAACCTTTCTGATTTACAGTCAAATTCTGTTAACTCTACTGTAGAAAATTTGAAATCAATAGTAATTTAAAATTATCTAGTAAAATAAGTTCATATTAATGTACATGTTAGTGGCAGCTGAGCTTCCTGCCTACAGATGTTTTTCTTCGTTTTTCCTGACTACTAATAAAGTTGCACAAAACAGAAAGTATGCCTTGATAAGAAGTTTTTGTCAGTTTAGGTAGGTAATTAATAACAATTATGATATTACAGGATTGCTTAAAAGCAGATAGTCAAGCCTAAATATAAGTAATATAGTTATAAATGATAAATGCATATTATTTTTCATATAATGCGTAGAGTTTCTAGGCAACTGCTTCTTATTGAGGCCTCTTGAAGATTAATTAAAAAAAACCCCATTATTAGATTTTTTTAACCTTTGTATTTATATATTCGATAACGTTTAAATTATTTCTCAGCTATCGAAGAAATCTCTGAGTTTAAAAATCTCAGTTTAGAGTGTTTCTGACCAGCCACTAAAGTCTGCATTCTCGTAACTCCAGCTCACGATATGAGTTAACCATTCCTTCATCTCTAATTGGTTTCTGGGAATGTTATAACCCATGATTAAAAACAGGGAGCACTTTAATGATTTTTTGTCTCCCTGATGCAAGCCAAATACTATAAGTTAAAAAATGCTCTTAGCTCACTGGGAGAGGTTTTGCTTTTTTGTAGAAAAATGCAAAGGAAACATGGAGAACATGAACCTGAAAATATCCCAATGTTAAATATATAGCAAAAAATAACAGTTTAAAATTCAGACATTCAAATTCCTCGTCTGAAATCCCTTTTAGAGAGATTTCTGCCTTCATTTTTCCCCTGAATTTTTGTTCTACATAACTAAGCAAGAAGGAAAGCCTAACCAGGATTCTTCCCTCCTGCTCCTCTTTTGCACTCCTCTTGTAAAATTTTCTCTTTGTCTATCCGTATATTTGTTCTCATTCTCAGCAGAAAAACCTTTAATCCTTGAAGACTTTTAAATAAAGGGTTTTTTTGCTTTTGCTTTGGTGTCAGTTGATTTCTTATCAAAGTGTTTGATTTGCAATTTTTTTCTTGTCGTTTGCAGAAGCCGAAAGCGGTATGCCCTCTTCGTTACCTTTCCTTCCAACCTCAATCCTACCTCCTTCTAACTTCAGGACTAATTCCTTGCCAAGAACACAGGAAGATAACATCTTTGTCTATCTTTCTCTGTATATACACACACATATATACCTATATATATTCATCTATCTATGTGTGTGTGTATATATATATCTGTGTGTATATTTATATATGAGCCCCCAATCTCAAAGAGGAGAGAGAGAACAGCATTTTGTCTCTCCAGTGTTTCTTGTGACTCACGCACTAACTTCTTTGCAGGAAGTACAAAATAAAACAGGATTAGTTTTTTAGGCTTTTTTTCCCCCCTTTGTGGAGTCATTGATGTATCAGATTGTTGCCATTTGGAAAGCAGATTTTATTGTTAATATCTCCTGTCCTCATTTTGACTGTATCATGACGATGTATATTTCGTCTTTACCAGCCCTTGTACTGCCATATTGTTTTCATATTCACACCTTCATTGATGTCCTTCTTTCCCCAGAGTCTTCCTTTAAAACACGTCTTACAATGCAGTAGTTCATGTTCTCTTGCAGTCTCATCTTCCATTAACAACAACCGAATTCCTGATACTTTGCATTTCTGGTCCTGTTTTGAGTCCAGTTACTCATAATACAGTACTCATTAAAGCTATTGTGCTGTTCCAGTGAAAGTGCCATGGATAGTTTGTATTACATGTCACATTCATTTTAACGACATTTATTAACCCATTTATGAAGATGTTACTGAATGTATTTTTTTTCTCAGCTTTGGGGGTTTTTTTGAGATGGCATGTTTTGCATTTTCTTTGGTACACCATGCTGTGAGTCCCTCTCTAGTCTACATTCTATCATGCTGCTACTGGTTTGGATGAAGTAAATAAGGCATGCTCTTCCATATCCTTGTCTCTCCTCACCTCTCTTCCCCTGGCAGCTTTTTTTTTTTTTTTTTCCTAATTGCTT